GCCGGCCGTGTGGCAATGCAAGCCATTACAACCCATTCAATTTTTCCAATAATCGCGCCGCCTCAGTGAAAAAGCTGCTCCAGCGACGGCAAAATTGAAAGTCACCCGACTTTTTCCTGAACGGCGCTTGGAGGGGCGAAAAAAATCCGTGTCCCAATAGACGGGGAAAATAATTTCAAGTACGTTACCCCCCTGAAATACAACAATGCCGAAGTGTTTGACCTATGCTGTATTATACGCCTTCTTTTGCTTGGAGACTTTTGTTCGCCGCGCTTCAGACTTGGCTGTGAATGCCCTGCTAAGGTGAGGGGGCCCTAAGTGAGGCATCACGCAGCGGCCTGGAGCTGCCTGGAGCTGCCTGGAGCGAGCTCGCGCGCGGGCCCCTCCTCCATCAAGGACTTACGAGCGCGTCCCCCCTGATGCTGGCTCTTCCTCCCCCAGGCGAGCGCGCTGGCCCGCCAGCCTGCCAGCCTCGCAGAGCTAATAACTCGCGTTAATGCGTGAACAGACATCGCTGGAGGGCTTCCAGCTCCAGCGGCCGCGCTGTCGGTGGAGCCGGCCGGCGCTGGAGCCAGGCTCCCGCAGGCCGCCGGCTCGGCCGCAGGCCCCGCCATAAACCTCTGCGCCCCGCGGTGGACTCTCACTTTCGCGCTGCGCTGCGCTCCACCTGCGAGTAGCCGAGGCGAGGTGACCCGCCGCCCCCTCGTTACCAGGCTCCGTCGGTCGACCCATTGTGTGTCTTGGTCCCTCCTCGTCCCAAGAATTTCTACAATTTCAGAAGAATTGCTAAAATTTTAGGCAATAATATCGACGCACTACACCCACATTGGCAATGTGCATTGTAGTCGCGATTGCACTTCAAGCAATGAGACTCTGATGAGAAATATTCATCTCTAAATGTCTTTATTTAATAATTTTGTGAAAAATCTAAACTGTTTGCCCTGGGAAAATATTTGTCCTTGGGCAGCTCTAGTCGCTTATTCTCTTTTCCTGGCTCCTCCCTTCCCCACGGAAAAAAAGAATTTGCTCTCACAACTAACGATTTAGTTAACATGGACATAACAAACAATTTTAGTTGCAGAAGCAAAGAATTTGCTCTGGGAACCAAAATTCTGCTGTCACAACTAACGCGTCGCTATGGTAACAAATGCGTTTGTTGTAAGAAAAAAACCTCGTTCAGTAACCAGAACAGTTGCATTTGTTACCATAGCCGACCATAGCGACGCGTTAGTTGTGGCAGCAGAATTTTGGTTCCCATAGCAATTTCTTTGTTCCTGCAACTAAAAATTATTTGTTATGTCTATGTTAACAAAATCGTTAGTTGTGGGAGAAAATTCTTTTTTTCCGTGCCCGACACCCTCATCACCATTCCCATCTCCGCGGCCGTTCATGACGACATAAATACATTATTTCAGAGCACGACAACAACAACAACAAAAACTTTTATGGGGTGATCGCAAAAATCTTTCTCTCTCCCTCTCGGCTGCCTGCCGGCTGTATGTACGGTCCGTTATTACACCGTTTGCGACCGGTGCTGCCTGCTGCCGTCCCGAGCGAGACGTTAAAGCGTTGACAACATTAGCATCGATCAGTCTCTCTCTCTCTCTCTTCCCCTCGCCCGCTCCCTCCCTCTCCCTACGACCCGTTACTCCACTGACACTGGAGCATCAGCTGGGCGTGGCACGGGTGGGGGTTGGGGCGAGGCGGGGGCATCCACCGCGCTGGCCTGGCGCGCGAGCTGCACTTTCGTGGTGCACTCGGCACACCGGGGCAATGAAGCCAATCG